TAACCCTAACCCTAACCCTAACCCTAACCCTAACCCTAACCCTAACCCTAACCCTAACCCTCACCCTAAGAAAAGAAGTCACGTGACCCTCATCTCCGCCAAACCCGCCAGCTCACGTGACCCACTGCGCCACGCCCATCGTCCACTTGCCCTAGCAACCCACTTGTCCGCCACAGCCAAACTTGATTGCATCCGCCCCTACCGTTCTGACCATCTACCATCCACACTAGAGCTTAGGGGGCACTAACCCTATGCCGTGGAATGCGGTCATTTGCACGTGCTAAGAATGGGCGCTGGACGGTAGAGAATTAGTGATGCGGAGACGCTTTTACTGTGGACGGTCCTGGACGCTTGCCCGCTCGCTGAACGGATCCGGTTGTGCGCGTGCGCTGGACGGTTTTTAGGGTGCGAGACGCTGTTTGGCGCCGCGCTGAACGGGTTAGGGATGCTCACCCGCCCGCTGGATAGGTCTGGATGCGTGTACGCCTTTTGCTGGACATTCCTGTTGCTGCAGGATGGGTTTTGCCTGCGGTGGACCATTTTTTGGACGCTTGCCCCCCACGCTGGATGTATTTGGATGCAAGACGCTTTGTGCTGGACGGTTTTTGTGCGCGCGGGACGCTTTTTTGTGTGTGCTCGACGGTCCTGGATGCTTACCCGCCCGCTGGATGGATCTGGATGCGACGCTTTTCAGTGGAGGACTCCTTTTGCCGGACGGTCCTGTTGGTGCGAGACGCCCTGTCGCAGCTCGCCGTGCGGGTTGCTGGATGCTTGCCTTCTGGATTGTTGCCCGCGCTCCTGGATGGTTGTCCTGATGCGCGGCGGTCTTCTAGACGTTTTTGCGCGTGCGCTGGACGGTTTCTGTGGGTGCGAGACGCTGTTTGGCCGCGCGTTGGACGGTCTTTTTGATGCGGGACGCTCACTGGACGATTTCTGGATGCTTGTTGCGCGCGCAAGTACGCTTTTTGCGCGCAAGTACGCTTTTGCGCGCGCGCGAAGTACGCTTTTTGCGGGCAAGTACGCTTTTCTTGCGCAGGTACGCTTTTCTTGCGCAGGTACGCTTTTTGGCCGCGCGCAAGTACGCTTTTTAAGCGCAAGTACGCTTTTTGCGCGCGCGCGCAAGTACGCTTTGTGGCCGCGCGAAGTACGCTTTAGAGTGCGCGCAGGTACGCTTTTCTCGCGCGCGTGCTGGTACGCTCCTCTGCTGCATGCCGGTACGCTTTTGCTCGCGCGCGCAAGTACGCTTTTTTGGATGCAAGTACGCTTTTCTCGCGCGCGAGGTACGCTTTTGCGTGCGCTGGTACGCTTTTTGGCCGCTTGCGCGCGCGCGGGTATGCGAGTACGCTTTTCTCGCGCGTTGGTACGCTTTTCTCACTGCATGCGCATGCGGGTACGCTTTTTGCGCGGGCGGTACGCTTTTGCTGGCTGCAAGTACGCTTTTTGCTCGCGCGGGGTACGCTTTTTGCCCGCGTGCTGGGTACGCTTTTTGGCCGCTTGCGCGCGCGCCGGTACGCTTTTCTCGCGCGCGCAGGTACGCTTTTGCGCGCGGGGTACGCTTTTGAGTGCGCGCAAGTACGCTTTTCGAGACGCTTTTTGCATGCTGGACGCTTTTGAGTGCGTGAGGGACGGTTTTGCGCGCGCAGCAGCGGACGGTGTTCAGCGCGGGACGTTTCTACACGGGCGCGCTTCACGCATGTCAGACCGTCGCCGTCAAATTGTGTACCATCGGAACTCAATTGACGCCTACCTTCCGCCCCTCCTGCCTTCACGACTATAGTTTACAACACATGCTCAGCTAACTCGGTGCGATGCCGACTGACTCAACAGGATCCTCATTCCACGCCATCTTTCCAGTCTTGAACAAGTCCATCACGGTAGTGGGCTGCGGCCAAGTTCCATGCCAGGAGCGAAGATGAGAATAACGCGCTCATCCCCAGCTGGAGCAGCTAGAAAGGTCGATGGACATGCTCACCCAATTCGAGCCACCCAAAGGCGTGCGCCAAACTCCATTCATGTGATTGATATGTCTCACGCAAACTCCATGCGCCTCGAGCGGCAAAGGTGGTGTGACACAACGATGTTGGAGTCTCTGCTCACTCTCTCCGTCCTCAACAGTCTTAAACATGTAGTAGGCGCTGGAGCACACCATGATGCCAGAATCAGTCTGTCGACCATGCAAAGAAGAATAGCAGAGGTCGTCGGCCAGCGCAGCCGCGGCGTTTCGACCCTCGACTGCGTCGCGGGAATCCAGGTCGTGGCCCTTCCAGACGTTCGAACAGTATCGCAGCTTGCCACATGTGGCTGAGTCGGTGAAATGCGTTCCTGGCTATCGAAATGAGGTGGGTCCCGATCGCGAGGTGTTGACCGTAAGAAGCCGCAAATTGCAGTAAACGGTAGGCTGTCGACGAGGCAAGCCACTGAACAGAGCATCGTGTTCCTCATGGGGGCGCCGGGAGCCATCCAGAAATCCACTCGAGCAGCCCGTCGCAGCCCTGATACAAGCCAACCAAAAACATCAAGCCGAGACGTGTGCGACGTTCCCAGGGAGAGCTATCTATATCTGGGTTGCACTCTTGACGCAGAAGATTCGATTGTGGTTCGAAGAGGAGTCCTTTGATGCCTTGTACGCTAGGTCGTAGGCTAAGATTACCAGGGAAGTATTGATGGTCCATGTCCCGCAGCGTATTGATGATGTGAACTCGACGGTCAGCAAAATTCCAGCCTGCGCCGGGCGGGGTGGCAGATTGCCATGCCTTCGCTGTCGTAAAGAGCAGAAAAACCGCGGCAATGACCGAGACAAGTGGCTGGCTACCACCAAAAGCCGTTACGACTCCAAAGATGACCAATGCACATTTTAAACCCACACCGGGGATAACTCCCCCAACTTTGAACAACCATGAGGCCCATTTCAAGGTGGAGCAGTCAGGAAGCAAGTCGTAAAGGATGGCTTCGGTGACAAAGGGAATGTAAGTCCATAGCTGGACATTTACGGTGCCCACAAGTCTATCCTGTCGCTCCGCCATGAAGTTCTCTCGCAGGTGTTCTGGATGGTCGTAGAAGAGTGCAAAGACTCTTGCGTCCGGGGCGTCGGCGTAGTTGTACCTTTGCCACAGAAGCACTTCGAGAATACGGTCGAATTGGTTGCTCTTGACGAGTCTTTCGGCAGCTCGTTCAGCATATGGCATGAACATTGGAATCATTGGATCAGGAATTGGTTTGCTAAGAGCTCTGGTCAGGACATCGTCTTTCAGTTGACTGTTTGCCCACATGGCTGCGTACATATTCCTGCGGAGCGCTCTGTCGGGATCTCCTGCTGCTGCCTCGACATTGTCGGCCATGTCTATGTGGGCTGGTATTTTAGGTCTATGTGTCTGAACAATGTGACTGTGAACGGCAGGATTTCATGGGGACTGTTGAGAACCTCTACTATGCGAACCAAGCGCAAGGGCACCACTTGTAAGTCCGTGCTTGTTTGCAAAGCGTGGCGTGGCTCTTGTATTCCCGACTAGCGACTGGCGCTCCCCTTTGCTAGCGTTCGCGTGTGCTGCCAGACGCTGGCATGCGAGGTGCGCGCAGTCCAGGCAAAGTCCAGACCGAATGAAGAGGTGCAAGAGCGCAACGCGCAGAGGGCGTGTGGCTGTTTCACGGGTGCGTGGGCATGATGCGAATGAAGAGGTGCAAGAGCGGAACGCGCAGAGGACGTGTGGCTGTGTCACGGCTGCGTGTACATGCGAACAAATTGCTAGCACATCCCATGCAGCCGCATTGCAAGCCCCGCGGCCCTTCGCCTGGTGATTGCGGCTCGAAAGGTAAAGTTATTGCTTCCGACTGCAATCAAGCCACAATCGCTATCTCAGACGGGACAACACGCGAATAGCCGCAGATTCCTGCGCGGTTGCGCGGCACTCACTGACCTTTTTTGCCCTACTTGCGGGGTATCAAAGTATTTCCAAAGACGTGAATTGGTCTGCTCGAGGTCTCCGCCGCGCATTCGGGAGTGAACCTCGACGCTCAAGATACGCAGACCACATTTGTGATCTCGCCACCTGCTGCGCACAATGGTGTCAAGACACGTTGCATGGTGTCCTGGCGGTCCCCTTGAGCGCGAACAGGCCGTTGGCCGCCGGTATGCGCCCCGCTAAGTGCGCGCGCAGACAGAACCCTTCGCGGGAAGCCAAGCCTGCATGGAATCTTGACTCGAACTTTGGCCGCTCCCGGAGCGCTCGGGAAGCACGTTGCCGTGACGCACCAATTCAAACGGTATCAGTGAGTGTTGCTGTCGATTTGCCGCCTCACAAAGGCGACCCGTCTTTGCAGTTGTCTGCGCTGCCCCAGGAAGCGCTCGGCGAATTGTTGTACGTGTATGTAGTCAGGCGACAGACCGTCTTTGCAGACTCCTTTGAGCTGATGTCAGATGCATGGCGCTGCGTATGCAGCGGGTGGCTCAAAGCGCAATCCACTGACCCGCCCTGTTCGGAGAAATGTACGTTCAACCATAAGGCATTGATCTGAGAGAGTCGTTCAAGTCAGGCAGATACTCGAACAGTGCCGGACTTTGTCCACGCCCTTATGTGAGCGGCCAGATCAGACGACCAAGTCTCGTCCGTGCGGCTGAGGAGACAGAGAGTGGACGTGTGGCTGTGCGGTTGTGTCACGATATCAAACCCATCAAACCTCCGCACATGCACTAGACCTTCCCGGCTGCAGCGGCTGAACGGTCGTACTTTCATCACCTGTCGTGTGATAGCAAATGTACAGCAACACAAACACAAGTTCGCTTCTACTGGAGCCTACTGCAAATAGCTCATAATGGCTTTCTGTCCGCACCCGGATTAGCCCACTTCCCTTCTGCCCACCACCGCCTTTCCTCATCAGCAACCCCTGCTCGCAACGCTACGCCTACTTTCATCTACTTTGTTCCGCCACCAGCTGGTCAGACTCATTCCCAGAGCCGTTTCTGTTTTGCAAAAGCTTCTCAACGACTTGCAAGAGATGGACTCATCGGCCGGCACCGGTACGCCACGCGCCCCCGAGCCCGCAGTTCTAAATGCTACCGGGATGAGAAGGTATGGTCACTATGGACAGGAGTCAAATCTCACGCGAAGGAGAGACCCGGCACCAGTCGCGACACCAGCAGTCACGGAGGTCGACGATGATCCGAGAATCAACCAAGTGAGGTTGCATGCGGAGTCAAATGTCAGGCAAAGGAGAATTCCGGCACCATTCACGGCACCAGTCGCGGGGATCGACATCGATCCTAGGGAGGAACAAGTGAGGGAGCGCATGCGCCGTCAATGGAGTGATATCTTGCGGGGCACCAGATGGAGACAGATGCGCGAAGAAGCGTTGCGAGTCTGCTTGCCTGCCTGCATCACACGTTCCGTGTCGCAAGAAGTCCAACTGTCCGTCGAGGTGTACATTCGCGGTCCTGACTTTGAAAAGACCAGCTGGGCGCTCTTCCACCAATTTGTCAACCCTCTGCTCTTCCCAGACCTGACTCGTCATTTTCGCAATCTGGACACATACGGACAAGTTATAGAGGGACGCTCGTTCGTCGGTCGCCGCTATGCCGAGCACCTTCCACCTGACGGGGACCCAAAGGCAGAGGCCTTTTTGCTTCGCACTTGTCAAGCCTATGTGCTGGCTCTACTTGGTAGCTCCAACTTTGCGGGGCAGGCAGCCCTCTTCTACAAGTTGGGTTTGGCATGCACACAAACCATAGTCATCGCCTTCGTGCTCATCACCTACATTTTGGCGAATTTCTTTTACTCGGGCCGCCACATCTTTTCAGTCACACAGAGTATATGTGCGACGACCTTCGTCGCCTGGTTCTTATTTTACCAATGCTGGGTGCCCCTCCCATCTGATGATGTCTGGGACAATGCCGCGGATCTGAGGTCCCAGATCATTCTCGCCTTGTTAGAGAACGAGGATCAATTTGAGCAAGATCAGAGCTTAAGACCAACTCGCCTCGCCTTTGACGAGCTAGTGCCAGTACCTGACACGCTGGACGATACTCGAGCGTTCCATCCCCGAAAGGCCTGGATGCATATGCTGGTCTGCTTGGGAGCAGGGATTGCTGACGCACTTCGCCGACTACCTAGCAACGGCTTGATCTCGTTCACCAATGCCATCGGCGTCAATGTGCAACCAGTCATCGCTCCGACTCTAAGTGAGCCCCAAGGCGCTGTCGTGTCAGAGGCTGCGGTCCCCGAATGAAGTCACCAATGTGACGCGCCGCGCGCGCGCACCTGCATGTACATACATCCACTCGCCTAGATCATCACTTGACGTAAACCCATTATCATCGTCCCATAAGCTTGTCTCGCAAAACGCAGTCCTTCGAGCGGAAGCTATCGCAAGTGGGAGACACCATGAAGAGGGGATCCATCGTCCTTCACGATATTAGGGTCACTCGATCGTGACTGAGTCGCGCGCGCGCAAGTCGACGCGTGCAGGTGGCCGCGCGAGGTGAAGACTCACGTGATGCGCGTGATAGTCGCGACTTGATTTGACTCGATGCAGGATTATTCACGATTCATTATTGACTTGAGACTCGATTTGTGATCTGGGTAGTGATTCCCGACTCCATCCCACTCGACTCTTGCCTACCCCGCACGCTTTCAACGCTCTCGCACAACGCAAGCGCTCGCTCCTGCGCATCGCGCCGCAACACCTGGCGAAGTCCGTCGAGCACAGTCTGCACCTCGGAGACGGACACCCTCTTCGCGCGATGGCGGACGCATCTCCCAGCTCAAATGGAGTAGTGACGGAAGGGGATGGAACTGCGGGCGCGATCGAGAGCGTACCAGAGGTACAGAAGGGCAGCCCCAATGACTTTTTGAAGCGTGAGTGTGGGTACATACAGAGAGAGAGAGAGCGCGCTAGCAGGGAGGGCAACAGCTGCGGGTGACAAACAGCGTGGGTCAGCCGCATAGCGCGAGTCAAAGGCGTTGGGGGCGAGAGGAGCTGCACGGAAGGGAAACACAAAGAAGCCATCACACTGAGCGCGAATTGGCACGAGCGCGATGGATTGGAGCCCGCGGTCTGATCCTCGCTCCGGTGATGCCGCTCACACTCGCGCGATGGATTGGAGCCC